GGTTTGTAAAAGGTCTGAGAGATAAGACATGAGAGGTACACACTCAATCATGGAGGTGAGCCCTTCTTGATAAACTGCCAATTGTGCAACTACTCAAGAATTTTCCAACATTTATGGGACCCAAAGGTTCAATACCATGTTCACAAGAGCCCTCCACTGGTCCCTTTCCTGAGCCAGATCAATCCAATCCATATTATCTCATCCTATCCCTCTAAGATTCATTTTAATATTGTCTACCCACCTATGCCTTGGTCTTCCCAATGGTCTCTTTCCATCTGGCTTTCCCACCAATATCCTATATGCATTCCTCTTCTCCCCCATTCATGCTACATTTCCTGCCCATCTCAACCTCCTTGACTTCATCATTCTAATTATACTTGGAGAACAGTACAAGTTATGAAGCTCCTCATTATGCAGTTTCGTCCAACATCCTGTAACTTCATCTCTCTTCGGTTTCAATATTCTCCTCAACACCCTTTCCTCAAACATCCTCAGTCTATGTTCTCCCTTGATGTCAGAGACCAAGTTTCACACCCATTTAGAACCACAGGTAAAATTATAGTTATGTATATTCTAATTTTTATGTTTTAGGACAGCAGATGAGGAGACAAAAGGTTCTGGACTGAATGGTAGCAAGCATTACCTGAATTCAATATCCTCTTAATTTCCTACTGATCCGGTTTTGATTTGTTATTGTCATTCCCAAATATCTGACCTATGCTACATTTTCAAAAAATCTGTTTCCTATCTTTATGTCATGATTTTTCCTGGATTTTGGTGACGAGACAGCAACATATACTTAGTGTTCTCTGTGTTTACTTCTACATTTGACTGTGTCAACCACAAAATATTACTAGAAAAGTTAATATTTTATGGAATAGAAGGGAAATTTAAGTCACTTATAGAATCATATCTAATGGATAGATACCAAAGAGTTGTAATAGGAAACAAATTCGACAGTAGAAGCTTTTCCGAATGGGAGGTAATCAAATGTGGTGTACCTCAGGGATCAATCCTTGGCCCACTATTTTTTCTGTTTTACATTAATGACTTACCTTCAATAAGCAATAAGAAAAATAAAACAGTACTTTTTGCAGATGACACAAGTATTATAATAACTGACGTAAATAAATTAGAACTTGAAATTAATCTCAAACAAACTTTAAAAGATATTGACACATGGTTTAATGCTAATTTACTTGCTTTAAATTTTAAAAAATCTCAATATATTGAATTTCGTTCCAAGAATTGTTATAATATTACCCCAATGACCATAGATGATGAAATAAAATTACCAAAGGTGAAAGAAACTAAATTTCTAGGACTAATTATTGATGATACCATCACATGGAAACAGCATATTAACTATGTTATCAATAAAATTGCAAGGTCATGTTATGCGTTGAGAAACATAAAGCATTTTATCCCATTAGATACATTAAAGGTAATTTATTTTGCACACATTCACTCCATTTTAAGATATGGCATAATTTTCTGGGGTAACGCTTCCTATGCCAGCAATGTCTTTAGACTACAAAAGAAGGCTATGAGAATTATTGCAAATTTTGGTCCAAGAGAATCATGTAGACATCTATTTGAGAAATTCGAAATACTGTCATTCTATTCCCAATTCATATACTCATTGATTTTATTCACGATTAATAATGATCATCTTTTTAATGCTATTACCATGATTCATGAACATAAAACCCGAACTCATAATAATCTATATTTGCCTTCTGTGAACCTGACAAAGTATAGTCAGAGTGCATATGTAGCGGGTATTAAAGCCTTCAACCATTTACCTCAAACTTTAAAAGAGTTGACTTTGGATGTACCAAATTTTAAGAGAGCACTGAAGAGATTTTTACTTCATCACTCCTTTTATTCCATGAAAGAATACTACCAACAGAAATGGGTATAATGTGTAATGTAAGAGAACACACAGATCGTGACGACAAATGAACTGATATAGAAATATGTCATAAACTACAAATTACGTAATTATCCTGTTTTATTTGTCTTGATGGGTATTACATCTTGTATGATAGTTTGAAGAACATGTTTGAACAAGTGTCTGTTAACCATTTTATTATTACTGTGAAGTTGCATATGTGATCATGAATTATATTTTGGTGAAATATGCACGGTATGTGTATGACCATGTATTGTAGCATGTTGGCTTGCATGCTTTTGATTTCTGTTATTAACTAAGTTGCACCTGAAGTTGTCAACTATTTTTATGCTTATTTTATATTATATGACTAATCTATTGCTTTTGGTTGTTTTAATAAGTGAATTTTGGATGATAACTGTCTCTTTTATATGCATTCTAATTTGGCGCACTTGATTAATGGAATGAGTAATGAATGAACGTCTTAATGGAAATTTTAATGTGTATTATAAGTATTTACCTCATTTAATTGCAATATTACTGTATTATTGTATAGATATTGTGTATTCTAACTTGACTTGTTCCATATCCTATGGTGTCTCACCTGTACTGGATTTACGGAATGTAAATAAATTCAATTCAATTCAACTTACTAGCGTTAATTAAAGTTCGTGTGTTTCTCTTTCTGGTATCTATATCATTACCCAGTAAATTCACATCATCGGCATAGACCAACAGCTGACGTGTCCCATTTAATTTCAGTCTCACCTGGTTTTCCTGAACCTTTCTAATGACATATCCTAAAGCAAAATTGAGAAAGAGTGGCGATAAAGCATCTCCTTGTTGTAGCCCATTCTGGATAGGGAAATTATCAGATGAATATTTACTTACACAGACTTTACCAAACATTTCATTTAAAAACATTTTAATCAGCCTAAATAGTTTCATGGGTAAGCCAAACTCTATCAAAATATTGCAAAATAATCCCCTCCCAACAGAATCATAGGCTTTCTTGTAGTCTATAAAGAGCTGATGTACTCTCTCATTGTGCTTCCAGTTTTTCTCCAGTATCTGACAAATGCAAAAGATCTGATCAGTAGTTGATCTGTTACATCAAAATACCCACTGATGATACCCAATAATTTAATCTATATATGGACTTAACCTTGAGAGAAGAATATTGAACAAAATTTCTTATGAAGTTGATAGCAGTGATATCCTCCGATAATTATTACAGACAGTTTTATCACCCTTCTTGTGAACTGGTACAATAATAGACTCCTTCCACTGATCAGGAAATTTTTCCTTATGCCAAATAGAAGTAATTAGTTTATGGCTCTTAGAATGTAACATTTTGCATCCTGCTTGAATAAGTTCTGCCGAAATATGATCACTACCTGGCAATTTATACTGTTTCAATTTTGCAATAGCACTTTCATCCTCAAAAGGGCTAGGATCAGGTACTAATGGCTCAGCTGTATGTATTTCTATCTGCCTAACATCACTGACCCTATGTAGATTCAATAACTGAGAGAAGTGGTCCTTATACTTATTCAAAATATTGTGGGAATCTGCAAGCAGATCACCATTCTTATATTACTTCAAGACTGGTAACCTTTCTTAAATTCATTTATTCCTCTGTGCTAGTCTTAATATACTTCTTCTTACAGTTTGTTGCAAGCGCATAAATTTTGTCTTTCAGATATTCCTTCTTTCTTTTCCTGAAATGCTTGCTGGGTTCATGTCTTATATTGTTCAGATTTCGCTTGGATCATGTAACCACTGCAATTTGGCTTGTTTTCCTCGATCTAATAATTTTGAGCATCCTTCATCGAACCCTGGCTTATGCTTCTTCAGTTCATGATAACCTAGACTCTCTTTGGCAGAAATTTTTATTTTCTCTCTAATAGTTACCCAAGCTTTATTAACATCCACCTCAATGCCTAAGGTTTCCAAAGGCGTGAACCTCTACCTCATTTAATTTCTTGAGACCGAACCTCTCCATATGAACACTGTGTGCTGTTTGTTTACTCACTGCTAGTCTTTCTGTAATCTTTGCCACGGGACCAGGTAGTGGTCAGTATTGGTCAGTATCACAATCTGCTGCCCTGAATGAAAGGACATTAAGTATACTTGAATGCCATCTCTATCTATCAAAATATGGTCAATTTGCTTGTGCATCTTACCATCAGGAAATGTCCAGGTAAATTTATGAATGTTATGATGTGAGAACATCGTACTTTTGACAGTAAGATTTTTTGATGTGGCAAAGTTCACTGCTCTAACTCCATTATCATTACTAATTTTGTGCAAACTCTCATTCCCAGTCGTTGGTTTGAAAATGTCTTCTCTGCCTACTTTGGCATGGAAATCTCCTAAAAAAATTTCATATGGTTCTCAAATACATGTTCTAGTTCTTCATAGAACCTGTCTTTATATCATCAATTTTATCTTCCAATGGGACATGAACATTCAGAACAATGATATCACACTAGCGACCTCTTAGTGTAGATCTGACTTTATGTTCCATTTTATCCATCTTAACACAGTACGTATAGCGACTGACTATGGACTGGACAACTGTGAGGTCAGAGTTCGTGTCCCAACAGGGGCAAGAACTTCACTTCTGCATGTTGCCCAGACCGACTTTGGGGTCCAACCAACATCCTATACAATGGGTACTGGGGGCTCTTTCCGGGGGGTAGAGCGGCCGGAGCGTGAAACTGATGACTCCCCTCCAATTAGTGCCTAGGTCCATAAAATGTGAATCTATATATCCACTCCCCCATATGCCTTTGTGGCATAGTGCTTAATTAGTTAAGCACAGGGACAACATTATCTTACGTTTTTATGTGCAATTTGCACATAGAAAGCTAAAAAGTGGAAGGCACAGCCATATCTATTATTCATTCACTTTACGACTTTGTGCCATCTCTTATAAGGGTTCAGAAAATCTTGGTTTAATGTAGTAATATCAGAGTGTGACCCCTCTCCATGTGATGCCTCATGTTTCTTACAGCAAAATAATTTAATTTTGCAGGCAGGTCAACAGGCTCTTCATACCAGGAATACAACTGAAGTCTTATAATAAAGAACAGTCCTTCACCTGTGCACATATTTGAGCTCAGCAAGGTAACTGAGGGCCCGTGCAACATCCATGGCCATCATTGTTAATTTCTTGCTTGATATCTCCTCAGATTCCTCGGAGATCCTCTCGTTGACAAGGTGCCGACGTGCAAGTAGGAACGTTTTCAGGTCACCTAAAATAATATATTGTAATTAGCAAAAGATGATACATGCACCTTGTCTTCAACCAGATGGAGTGGTAGAAACATGGTTACTGACCATACAACATGAACTCCATGATGGTATAGACAGGCTCATTCTTGGTGCACACCCCCAGCAATTTGACAATGTTCTTATGTTCAAACCTCTTCATGACCTCTGCCTCGCTCAGGAAATCCAGCTTCTCCTCCATTGTGGAGCCAACCTTCAACGTCTTCACTGCTACAGCCACCTGAAACACAGATTTTTGTCAGATGCAAAAGGACTTTCATTTCTGTATTGGTCAATTGACTCTAGGCTCAAGCTCACCCAGCCTTTGTCTTCAAAGAGGGCCTCCCCTCCATACACCATGCCAAATGCTCCCTCCCCTAGTTTGCGGTTGATCACAACTCGGTCACGAGAGATCTCCCACTTGTCAAGGCTGCTCATATTTTGTGCAGCCAACAGGTCAATACCAAGTGACATCATGTAGTTCTGTGTCTGCTGCACTTTCTTGTCATATCTGTAAGTGAGACACATCCAATAGACTCAATGTCTCATGCTTCATTCCTTAATATGGCACCGTGGATAAAAATAAATAAAACATTGAATCAACTAACAATGCTGTACCAAATGCAAAAGTTATTTCAAGTTAAGGTAAAGACTGATAATGAACATGAATTGTACGAGGGTTATTCAGAAAGTAGCCTCCATGTATTTTAAGCAAATAACCATAGGAGCGAGGGAGAGCTCACACACGCAAGGTAGCATTACATGACTCAATGCCTTGTAAACCTTTACTCATCTAGTGTTTGTTTGGGTCTCTGCAAAGAGAGTTATGATGTGTCCTGTGAGTGATAATACCTCCAGCTGTGAAATTCATGAAGTTATCTGCTTTCTTCATGCCAAAAAGTTAATGCTGCAGAAATCAATTGTGAATTATGCGCAGTTTATGGCCACAATTTAATGAGTATGAAAATGGTGTAGAATGTTCAAAGATGGGCGACCAGATGTTCATGATGAAGAGCAAAGTATTTGGCCATCTGTAGTGTGTGATGATCTTATTCAGAGTGTTGACCAAAAATCTTTGAAAGACGACTCTTCAAAACATCAGAACTTTCATGTGGATTTCCACATATTTCACATGCTGTTCACTATGTAATTATCACAACTTCTGTGCAACATGGGTTCCAAAAATGCTCACAGGTGCACACAAAATGCAGAGATAGCTTCAGCTTTGACTTTGACTTTTAGAAATATTACAAAGATGGCGATGAATTTCTCAATGACATTGTGTGAGTAACAGGTGATGAAACCTGATTTTCATTTGTGATTGTTGAAGCCAAAGAGCAGTCATGACAGTGGATACACACACATTCACCAAATATGGTGAGAAAGTTTAAACAAACGCAGTCTGCCAGAAAGCTGATAGCAAATGTGTTCTTGGACAGAAAGGAGTGCTGATGGTGGGATACTAACATCCAGTGTATTGTTCTTCCATGAAAATGAGCATCAGCATACAACTGCTTGCCCTCGAACACTGCTGGAGCATTTCAACATGGAGTGGTGGTTTGACCACCCTACTTACAGTTTTGATCTCGCTCCGAGTGACTACGACCTCTTTATTTACCTGAAGAATTGGTTGTGGTCACAGAACTTCAACAACATTGAGGAGAAGATGGAAGGTGATAGAATGTGGTTGAGCTCATAGGCGGTATACTTCTTTGACACAGGTGTACAAAAACTGATTCCCCAAAATGGCAGGTGCCTCAATTCCAGCGGTGACTACATTGAGAAGTAGCTTAAGCATGTACATATTTTTTGTATATAATAATTTCTTTCAATGCTTGTTTTGTTAACAGCTCATCAGAGGTTACTTGCCAAATAGTCTTGGTATATAACAGATAAGAATAAATGATGAAAACATTCACTTTAACCTTCGGTCGCCAGAGTGGAGGGAAATCCACATGATGGAGAGAGATTTTTCCCTTGGGAAGAAATGCCAAATATTTATAATACAACAGTGGTTAGGAACAGACAGGATACAAATTGGAAGAGTCACGGTTGACAACAATGAATACCTTTTGAATTGAGAAATGCAGATGGATGTAGTTGTTATAAAATTTACTTTTTAATGGGGAATGAGAAAAGTCTATAAATATCGTGTGGAAGCTGCAAAAAATATTCATTTTTTATGTGGTGTGATCAAAAAATTCCAGATCAAATTCTTTTCTCTGTTATAGCTGAATGCACCCTCCATTCCATGCTGTCCCTTTTGAAGTACTTCCCTTGTGAACTGATGCAGAGAGTCCAATGATTGCACCACTGTTGCAAACGTCTGCAGAAATCTTGTGTTTTGAACCTAGCAAGTGCAGCCTCTGATTGGTGCATTGTGATGATATCACCAAACCTCCTCCACCTCAGTGCCCCCTCAGTCTATCTGTGACGACTATTGAAAAGAACTGTGGGTCCCTCTGAAGATTTTTCTGAAGGTTCTGACACACAATGATATTACTCTTTTGCTCAACATACAGTAGATGAAACATAAATTTTGTGACAATATTGAAAATAGATTTTTACCTTATCAGCCAAGTTTCAGATACTGATGTATCTGTGTTCATGAACAAGATCCTTGATTTGTGCACATTTTTATCCACTTTACTTATGAATGGGTGTCCTGAATTCCCAACATCATTAACAGATATTACTTCTGTTTGTAACTTGGAATTCAATGAAAATTTAATTGTTCTGTCTATTGTTTACTCTGTGAAAGCAAGTTTTGACATCTCACAGGTTTCTGTAGCAGCACTGCCAATTTTGAAGTAGGACTAAATGCATGCATGTTCTCATAAATAAAAAAAACTCAAGTCATCATCTTGTGCCAACAGTCCTGCATTTTTCTTTTTAACTGCAGAGAATTTTTTAGTCTGCACTCCCTGCTTTTGGCTGCACACATCATTATCAGATTCAGTGGCTCCCCATACTGATCTCACTAAAGATATGATGCACCAGCATTCATTAGCCACAATATCGTTCACGTTAGAATTCCTGTGTTATCAACTGTACTTAGTTTAAGACCAGCTACTGTGACACATAACTTGTGGTTTTCTAGGACTCCTCTATAAGAACTTTAGGGTATTAGGCCCTAATTGTGTCCCCATATATCATATCATTCGACAGCTGATACAGCAGTATCTAGTGAACAATACAATGTCACCAACCTCCTCTTGACCACAAGGAAAGCAATGATGAGAACAATTCCCAGTAGTCCAAAACCAATAATATTCACAGCAACGAACGCCAAATCACAGGTGATATCCAAGAGTATTGCCAAACCTTCAAGAAGACATCGAGGTGGCAATTCCTTACCATCAGTGGGTTTGCGCCCATCTGCTGTCAGCCAAACAATGGTTGAGAGGTTCAACTCCAACCTGCATTGCAAAAAGCAGAGACAGAGTAGCACTTCAGTCAGTAAAGGAATATGCTAACTGCTACTTGAGAATTGTTTGACTGCTCAGGCAAGAGAATCAGACACTTCCTGTGTCAACATGGGCAGACTAGTAGTGGACATAATAACCAGGAGTCTATACCCATTGCAGTTTGTCTTCAGTATTGCTCTAGTAAATTATTAAACAGCTACCGAGAAGCAAGCATTGACCAAGTACTCTTACCTTATATGGTTTCAATTTCATGAGTTTTGTAGAAGTTCATACTAATGTTTCTCAAACCCAGTTATTTGTGCAAGGCAGCTGAGTGATATTTGAGAATTATGTCAAGTGTAGTATTCATGTTACCCATTTTCTCTTCTGTGAGAATTTAGCATTTTGATTCGGCTCTCTTTGTCCAATAGCGACCCAATCTCTCTTAATTTATTTAAAACTGTACAAATAATCTTTATATTTGGAACTATATTATCCTATTACTTATGATGAAATCTTCTCCTCATTCTTACGCAACTTTTTTCACATAGGTTTCACACATGAACACTCATTCCAATGTTTAGGCTCAACTCACATGTGGCTTTTTGACACAAGAAGTTGTGTGATTGAATAAGTAATACAGTAGCAAGTGTTCAGGATTACAGCCAGACAACACACTAGATTGCTTCATGATGGCTGTTAAATGATTTATGTATTTTGACTATAATGAAAATGAAATTGTAAGGTGTATATGCTTTTAGTTTACCAAGTCTGCTACCAGTCAACACATGTTAACACAAGTAGTGTCTGTGTCTCCAGCCTGTGTCGTCAAACGATTTTTGGGTAGCTCTCAGACAACAGCATTGTAGGTGGGCATATTCAGGCTAACCTCAATTAATTTCTGCATATAATTAATATTGATTTTATGTTTCAAACTGAATTTCTTTCTTTCATTTGCTTTCAAAGTTTTGTAACAAAATCAGAAATCAGTTTAATATTTTTGGTCCTGTAAATCAGATTTCTGACTGGAACTGCTCTTTGGGTTCAACTGACTGTGTGAAGAACACAGACATTCTAGGAGCTGGAACTTGGAAGCAGGGCTCTAAAAATACGGTCACCAACTCACGACAGGAAAGTTGATGGAGATTAGTGGCGACTATAACAATAAATACAAGAAGCATATTGTTTGTCTGCTGGCAAGCATATTTTCAGAAGCAGCTAGTATATTTGAATCTCATTTCTGGAGCACTGTACAGGACAGACACAGACATTTCTACTACTTGGATGAAAATAGCGTGTATGAGGCAGCCATCACTGATGTTGCATGAAATGACCAGTGCTCTGTCCACATGCATCCCTGAAGTTTACAACTGAAGGCCCTGTGCCTTTGATCATAATACCTGTGCTGCAAAGAGTTTATAAGCATGCAGAGTCTCATTCCTCCAAATACTTTTGATTTTAATTGCAAAGATGACAGCTGTAAAAGCAATTCAAATATTGATGATATTAATTAATTTCAATCCTGCACTGGAGAGAGTGGAAAGTTTTCCTTCATATGCAAAATTGAATTTTATTTTTATAAATAAATAAGATCATCTTTTAGTGGATAAAGATATTCATTCAGTTTCTTTCAGCTTTTAATTTGAAAAAGATCACTTTCTCTCTGGGTATTTTATGAATCGTCAAAAGAACAAGCCTACAATGACACTATTTTCAGCAGGTAACTTTAATTTTCCTGTAATCTATACTTCACTCATGTAGCAAGGTGATTAGCTGCCTGCTTCCCATAGCAGTGGCCTGGGTTTGATCACATGTCAGGACATATTGGATTTATGGTGGACAAAGTGGAAGTGGGGCAGCATTTCTCTGAGTACTTCAGTTTCCCTTGCCAATTCCCATTCCACCAACTGCTCCATATTCATTGATCAACCTAACACTGATGCTACATATGCTAAGTACTGACATCATTGATAAATAACAAACTAAAATAAAATTACTTGAAATCAAGCCAGGAGTGTACCTACCTGCCACCAGATAACTCCTGATGCAGAACTGAGAAATTTGGATGGAAGGAGCCCACAACTTGGGTCCTATTGTTCAGCCATTGCAAAACATTGATGTCAGAGACTCGTGAAGCACCTCGGAACTTGATTCGTCCAGACACTCCATGAAAATCAGTGGCTTCCAGCATTTCTACAAATCGTCTGCAACATCAGAAGAAGCCAATGAGTTATATTCAACATGACACCAGAACATGCTAAAATGTTCAAAGACACTCACTGAGTGGAAACACTGGAGTGGATGTCTGCCAGGAGGGACTGGTTCTCCTTCACAAGGTTATTGAGGGCCAATGCGTAGGTCCACACTGCATCATATGTGAAGCCTGCATAGTTAGATTCACTCACATTACGTGCCCTGCACACTGACTTGTACTTCTGTCTCCACTGCCTTACAGTTATATTCTCCTGCATGAGCTCTGAGTCAGAAGCAAAATATGCATGAGCCAGAGACAAGTGCCCATTGATTGCCTGAAACAGAGGCAGACGACATGATAGCAATCTAAAGGTAGCTTCTGAATATGATCCGTTAGTATGAACAGTGCTAGAATGATGTGAATTTCATTTTCAGTAACTGGCTTCCGTCCATTCAAACTTGATGTTTTATAAAACATGTTTTATATTGCCTTCAGAATTTCTACACTGCTGAGCATAGATTTTTTTTTCTGCAAACCTGTTCACCAGATTTCTTGCTTAAATATAGATAAAACGTCCACAATTTACAAACATCCTCTGCACTGCTGTGAGGTCCAGGAAATCCTACAAATATTTCCATTTATGCTATATAATTTATCATATCTTGCAATACATACATATATATCTGTACTAACACTGGCTCCATCAACATCACTATCATCATATTGATTACTAATATTAAGGACATCTCTTTTTCTTCATCACTGTCACCTGATTCTGCTATGCTACCATCTGATTCTACAAGATCTTCTTCCTCATTTACTAATGAACATGTTTCACAGTCTACCAATATCTCAACGATGACACTGCTGCTGTTGTTGCACCAAAGAACTGAAGAAAAAGGGGCATTAGAAAATATCAAGAACGTGCATATCCAAAGAAAACGGAATTTCGACTTTCTATATGTGCATTTAAATAGTATAACAAGGTCACAAATTCCCTAAATGCCACATGAAATTTTTGTTAGAAGATATCAATGCCAAAGTAAGTAGTAAAGACACTGTCAAACCAAAAATTGGAAATGAGCGTTAACACAGAATTAGTAATGATAATGGAGTTAGAACATCAAAAATATTATTGTGAAAAGTATGATCTTTCACATCGTAACAATCATAAATTTACTTGTACATTTCCTGATGGAAGATGCACAACGAAATTGACCATATTTTGATAGATAGGAAATGGCAGTCAAGTATACTTGATGTCCGAATGTTCAGGCAGCAGTGTGTGATACTGACCACTATCTGGTGGTAGCAAAGTTGGGGAGAGACTGGCACTGAGTAAACAAACAGTGCACAGGTTTCATATTGTGAGGTTCAATCTCAGGAAATTAAACAAGGTAGAGCGTGGGAAACTATAAGAGAGAATATAAGAATATCAACCAGATAGGGTCTAGGTTATTATTATTAACTGAAGAAGCATATGCCATGGTATGAAGAATTATTAGATCAAAGGAAACAAAGCAAACTGGTGTGGTTACAGGATCCAAGCAGGATAAATGGGGATAATGTGATCGATATAAGACGTGAAAATAGCAGGCTTTTCAGGAATAAAACTAGGGAATATCTGAAAGACAAAATTAATGACCATGCAACAAACTGTAAGAAGAAGTATATTCGAGACTAGCACAGAGGAATAAATGAATTTAAGAAAGGTTACCAGTCTTGAAGTAATATAAGAATGGTGATCTGCTTGCAGATTCCCACAATATTTTGAATAAGTATAAGGACCACTTCTCTCAGTTACTGAATGTACATAGGGTCAGTGATGTTAGGCAGGTAAAAATCCATACAGCTGAGGAGTTAGTACCTGATCCCAGCCCTTTTGAGGTTGAAAGTGCTATTGCAAAAATGAAAATGTATAAATTGCCAGGTAGTGATTATATTTTGGCAGAACTTATTCATGCAGGAGGCAAAATGTTACAATCTAATAGTCATAAGCTAACTACTTCTATTTGGCATAAGGAAAAATTGCCTGATCAGTGGAAGTAATCTATTATTGTACCAGTTCACAAGAAAGGTGATAAAACTGACTGTAGTAATTATTGGAGGATATCACTGCTATCAACTTCATATGAAATTTTGTTCAATATTCTCCTCTCAAAGTTAAGTCCATTCATAGATGAAATTATTGGACATCATCAGTGTGGGATTCGATGTAACAGATCAACTACTGATCAGATCTTTTGCATTTGTCAGATACTGGAGAAAAATTGGAAGCACAATGAGAGAGTACATCAGATTCGTAGACTACAACAAAGCCTATGATTCTGTTAGGAGGGGATTATTGTACATTATTTTGATAGAGTTTGGCATGCCCATGAAACTAGTTAGGCTGATTAAAATGCGTTTAAATGGAACTAATGGTAAAGTCCGTATAGGCAAACATTTGTCTGATAATTTCCTTATCAATGCTTTATCGACATTCTTTTTCAACTTTGCTTTAGGAAATGCCATTAGAAAGGGCCAGGAAAACCAGGCGGGACTGAAATTGAATGCGGCACACCAGGTCTTGGTCTGTGCTGATGATATGAATCTAATGGGTGATAATATAGACACCATAAAGGAAAAAACACAGAAACTTTAACTGACGTTAGTGAGGAGGTTGGTCTAGAAATAAACACAGAGAAAACTAAGTATATGTTGCTGTCTCATCAGCAGAATGCAGGGAAAAATCATTACATAAACATAGCTAACAGATGTTTTGAAAATGTGGCACAGTTCAAATATTTGGGAACAACTATAACAAATCAAAACCTGATTCAGGAGGAAATTAAGAGGAGACTGAATTCGGGTAATGCTTGCCACCATTCAGTCCAGAACCTTATGTCTTCTTGTCTGCTGTCTAAAGATAAAAAAAAAAAAAAAATTTATTTTCTCCTCTCACTCGCACTGTGGAGCATAGGGCTGATTTCTCAGTTTCGTGATTATTTTAACAGATGGTAGAACTCCTTGGACGGGTGATCAGTTCATCACAAGGCTTCTACCTAAGCATAGGACAACACAAACACAGAATAAACGATTATGCACACCAAACATCCATGACTTGTGTGAGATTCAAACCCATGATCCCGGGTTCCGAGCAAGTGAAGAAAGTACATACGTTAGACCACTCGGTTACTGTGACTGGCAAAAAAATAAAATATACAGAACTATAATTTTGTCTGTTGTTCTGTATGGGTGTGAAACTTGGTCTTTGATATTAAGGGAGGAACACAGACTGAAGGTCTTTGAGAACAGGGCGTTGAGGAGAATATTTGGACCGAAGAGAGATGAAGGGACAGGAGGTTGGAGAAAACTGCATAATGAGGAGCTTCATAACTTGTATTTTTTTCCATGTATAATTAGAATGATCAAGTCACGGAGGATGTGATGGGCAGGGCATGTGGCATAAATGGGGAGAAGAGGTATGTATACAGGATATTGGTGGGAAAGCCAGAAGGGAAGACCAAGACGTAGGTGGGAGGACAATATTAAAATGGATCTTAGAGAGATGTGATGGGATGATATGGACAGGATCATTTTGGTTCATGATAGGGACCAGTGGAGGGCTCTCGTGAACGCGGTAATGATCCTTCGAGTTCCACAAAATCCGCGGGAAGTTCTTGAGTGAGCTGCACAAAAGGCGGCTTCTCAAGAAGGGCTCAGCTGCACGAGTGATAATACCAACAGCACATGAGAAGGAAGCATGATGCAAGTGTGCTGTAAACGAATTTCTCTGAGCATTTATAAATGATGTTGGTCTTAAAGTCTAATCAATATTTTTGTGACACAAAGCTAGAAATATCTGCTTTCAACCATATGAATCATATACGAAATATTTAGACCCATGGAAGCATAATATGGGTCTGTTCAGAGCACTGCCAAGCAAGGCATCTTACAATTACAAGGCAAAAGCATCAAATTACACTCTAACACAAAACCCATGCATATATTCTGTACATCAACTGAAAGAGTATTCAGTCCTCTTTCAGACTGTACAAAATGTGGTGCAATAGTTTGAACTTGATACAAAATAAAGCGACAAAATACCTCTTGTGTGCAGAGAGTATGGCTGTTGTCCTGTGACATATGAAGTGGCTGCTGCGAGAATACTCAGCCTTGCACACTGAAGGGTTAAATGTCAGTTATTTATGGAGACTATTACCTTAAATGAAACTACACAGGTGATATCTCCAGTAAAGTATGGTATGTACACTAAGGCACCATATGGTTATATGTCCAGGCTTGTACAAACAGCAACCATCAATGGTCTAACAATTAATTTCGTTTCCAAGGCATGGTAATCAAGGTGTATTCTATGTGAGAAAGTATGTGCAATGCCTTTGCATTGATTCAATTTTGAATTACATTAATAAACTTTTATATACAGTTTCAGCTACCATATATTGCAATACTGACAAGGAAGAGACCATATCTTGGGTGAAGTACACGTACATCTTCTGGTTTTAACTCAATATTTATCTAAAATGTGGATGAAAGTCAAACGAAAAGATGTAATCCTGTTGCTGCTTAAAAATGTAAAGCTATCCCTGTAAGAGGCCATGAAGGCCCATAGAGTTGTGAGACGTTGAGGGTCACACATTATCTACACAACTGGCTCAAAGATGGCGGTAAGGTTGTCAGCCTTACGCGCCGGCCGTGCTTTACTCCCCAGGAAAATTACTTAATTAATTCCTGGTACTCATTTCTGTTAGAGGCTGAGTCGACCCCAGGGTCATTGCGTGGCTGGAGGGATTAGGACAATTGAAAAAATAATCCAATGACCTCACCTGTTGCTGCTTAGACCGTTTAAAATTGAAAATTAAAGTGCAAACAGTGTTGAAATGAGTAAAAATTAATAGCCATTTAATAATGTATCATGGAAAATATGTGGTTTGCATGAAAATGGTCTAAAAAATAATGTAACGTGGATAGCCAGAGCTTTACTAGGTAACGGAATAGTGAACACCCCGTAACAATGGGAGATGTGTCTCAGGGAGGGATGTTATTGCGTGTTGCTAGGCAAAAGCACACTAATAAGGACGCTGGCTAGGAATCACGTGACTTGCTTTCCACGGAGTCCATACAAAGGAGTTATCTTACAGACAAACGCCACTTCACCCCAAGGAAGTCGTCACCCGAAACTTTTTCACCCCCTTCAGGGCAGTGGACCTGGATGCCGACGCTTCCGGTACTGAGGCCAATTCAAATGAGGAGGCAGTTCCTGGAAAATCAGGTAGGCCACCTACAATAATCATAACGTCTACCACTAACCTCATTCAGTTGCAAACACAAACTGAAAAGTGTGGTCAAAGAATTGAGTTCCACAGCACTTGAAACGGAACCAGAGTTATCACGAGAGGCATGGCGGATTTTCAGTCCATCAAATCCCACTTCAACGCCAATAACCTGTCCTACTACTCGTTCTATCCCAAATTTGGAAACCCCATGAAGGCAGTGATATGTCGCGTGCCACACAACACCCCTGCAGAAGACATATCTGATGGGCTGGTGAGCCTCGGGTTTGATGTTATTGGTGTCAGCCACCCATTCGTCACCGTTCGACGGACCAACAACCATAAACCTCCCCCTCTTTATAATAACTTTGCTGAGGACGGAAAAGTCCCAAGAAATTTTCCGACTGCAAAGTCTGCCACATCACAATCAGGGTGGAGGCATATAGAGCTCAGAATGTTCTTACGCAGTGACATAACTGTCAGCAATTCGGCCATGTCTGGACAAACTGCAAGAAACCTCCCTGCTGCTTGTGGCGGAGATGGTCAGCTGCACAAAGAGTGCCCCGAGAAATGGAATACATCTTCCACCCCAACAAACTGCAACTGTCGGTTGGCGGAAGGAGTAAAACCCATCCCACAAATTATCGTGGCTGCAGACATGCGAAGGAGGAGATGCAGAAAAAGAAGTCGCAGAGGACACCCAGAAGTACAACAGGAAGGGCGTTCTCTTCAAACGTCATCACTCCAGACGTGTCCTTCGCAGTGGCGCTCCGAGGCAAAATAGAACAGCCGCAGCCTCAGACACATCAGGTGGCAGTGGTAAGTCCAGCTGAATGGAACCCAGGGTCCCTGTGTTCTTACCCCAACATGAACAGCAGACAACAGGTCAGTCTATTCAGGCCCCACATGTAAAGAGCTCGTCTATGGACAAAATTTTGAAAGTAGTAATAACAGTAGTACAGCAAACTATGACAGAATCTAATGGTGCTGTGAGGCTAAAATATTGGCAATTCCAAAAAATGTCTTAAATCTCGTAGAGGAATATGGCCACTAGAATTCACAGGTCCCTCAAAGTCATAGCATTTAATGAGAATGGTGTTGTGAGGCAGCGCTATGAGCTCAGTAAACAGCAGCAAGACCTACACGTAGATGTAGCCCCGTTCTCAGAGACACATCTGAAAACTCATGAGAGGATCTTTATTCCAGATTATTACTTTTATCGAACTGACCACTACCCGGACGGGAAAGGTGGAACTGCTGTTGCAGTAAAAAAAGGCATCCCCTACAATCATGTAGACCTACCACCTCTTGTCTCAGTAGAAGCGACAGGAGTCTGCATACCTATTGGTAATAGTGAAGTTGTACTTGCAGCTGTTTATAAATCTCCAGGCCATGCCCGGAATGATGCTGACTTCACTGATCTCTCCTGCTTTAGACGAAAATCTATTCTAGCAGGTGATCTGAATGCTAAGCACCAATTTTGGAATAGTACAGTTTCAAACTCTTCAGGTGAGGAACTCATGGACTAATTTGATTTCAATGAATTCAAAATTTCAGCACCACAGTGCCCCATTCATTATTCCACTGGGTAGAATGGCGATGTGCTGGATACTGTGGTCCACCAAAACATCAGAGCATCATTTGATATTGTCTCTGATATTTTGGACTCAGATCACCTACCAATAGTATTCTACATATAGGATCATGTCAAAATTAGGAATCTCTTGAAACCTATTAAGGAATTCACAGATTGGAATCGGTTTCAAAGCTTTGCCTCTGAATTAATATAACCAAAAACTGAAACTAACTCGTGGGTAGAAGCTGATAAATCAGCGCACGACTTTACAGCCTCTTTTTTCAGTTGTCGACAAGTAAAGTTACACTTTTGGACATAAACAATGATCTTCCTGGGCTAGATTATTTGTTAAGACATATGCAGAGGCTATGAAAATTATGGCAAGGAACCAGGGATCTAGCATGTAAAATGGCAGTTAATTGGTTCATGAAGTCAGTCAGATGAATGGTCTGTAAAAAGCACTTGAATAGTGGGAAACAAAGATGGGTAACACTGAAGTCACACCTCAGGTTATATGGCCCATTGCAAAATCCCTCGTAAAGACGGATGGACCAACAGCACCAACTGTTAACTGTGGTTCATCAGGCCTTGAATTTCATCCATCTGAAAAAGCCAACACAATTTCTGACTGTTCGGAAACTCAATTCACACCACATGATCTGTGTGATGACAACCATGAATGGTGGGTGGAGTCTTAAGTTCAAGCTCTACTTGAGGACGTAGACAATAGCCCCCCCCCCTCAGGGGATAAGACTATGTGACTTAAAGAAATTCATAAATTCATTGAAACTGAGAAAGGCCTGTGGAATTGATGGCATTCCAAACGAAAGTCTCAAGCACCTTCCAAGGTGACAATTGGTACACTTGACCCATTTATTTAATCATTGCTTTCAGCTACCCAATTTTCCAGGTCCTTGGAAGGAAGCAAAAGTCATAACCTTACCGGAACCCAGTAAGGACTCAAAATTCCTTCAACACTTAGTCCGATTAACCTCCTTTCCACAACAGGCAAACTATTCGAGACAGTTATTTTGAAAATAGTCCAAAAGCATATTGAAGAAAGAAGCCTGCTTAACACGGGCTAGTTTGGTTTCCGTGCATTGCACAGCACCACACTGCAATGTATGAAGCTAGTGGACCATGTAACCCTCAATTTCAACAATAAAATGTCTATGGCTGCAGTGATCTTGGACTTTGAAAAAGCCTTTGACACCACATGGTACTCTGGTTTGCTGTATAAGTTGTGACAATTCGAATTTTCGACCACCTTGATCAAGCTTATTGGCTCTTTTCTCTCACAACGAAAATTCAGTGTTTTGGTGGAAGGTGAAAAGTCTGTGCCAAGGGAAATACAAGCAGGGTGCCACAAGGTTTGGTTCTGTCCCCTACTCTTTTCAATATGTACATAAATGATGCCCCCCAAACACATGGCGTTCATCTAGCCCTCTTTGCAGAGAACATCTGTCTGTATGCAACAGATCGCTAGGAGGGTTTTGTTGTTAGGAAATTCCTGTGCAGTCTCAGCTCAATGGAGACCTAGTGTGAGCACTGGAATATAAAAATTAATGAATATATGACTCAGGGGATCTACATTTCTTGCAGTCATCGTCCATCTGTGTCTCATCTTACATTGAATGGAAGGAATAAATCATTTGTATATAGTGCAAAATATCTTGGTGTAATCTCCAATAAGAGGGTGACATGGAGATTTCACATAGAAATGATCGAAGCCAAGGCCTTCAGAACATTTGTTAGAGTGTATTTCCTATTCAGAAGTGAGAGATTAAGCGCTAACATTAAACTGAATCTCCACAAAGCTCTCATAAGATTTGTAATGACTTATGTTAGTCCCACCTGGGATTTCACGGCAGATACACATCTAGTGAAATTGCAGCGCCTACAAAACAAGGTTCTCCACACCATTGGCAATTTTCCAAAGCACGTACCAATTCATGATTTACACATGGCTTTCAAAATTCTGTACGTTTATGATTATATAACAAAATTATGCAGGCAATAAGCAGAAGTCATACAAAATCATGATAAAAAAATGTTCACAATATTGGACAAGGCGAAGCCTGACACAGAAAGTATAAGAGGCTTAAACTTGGCAGCGCATAAGCATACAATTGTTCAAGTGAATAGACTACCATTGTAGTGGATGCTACTAGAAATAGGGCATAATCTGCTGTACTGAGCCTGGACTGACAGAGGCCCTGTATATATTTTATATATATTTATTAATATGTTTAACATGTAAAATGTAAATATCCTTTACATTATGACAAATAACTTACTATTGCATACAATGACTCTGACAAAAGACAGACCCATCCTCTCATCAGAGAGGGCGCCCAACAATATCAAGACTGTAACTGCAAAACAGTAATAAATATCGGGTCATAAGCCCCACACTGAGCTCGACATCAAGACTGACTGACTGACCATCAGTCGCAATGTGACTTTGACTTTGGCTAAGAGTTCAGTTCTGAGTTCTCGGTGGAAGATTGACATAGAAGGTTTGCCGTAGAAGAGGAATAAGAAGTCTATCTATGAAGACTTCGTGCGTGATTAGAAGGCTTAATTCATGTGTAATACTTGCAGTGTGTGTGATTCAGTGAGACTGTTATAGTTCTTGCATTTTAGTTGTGGTACCAGGAGAAATTCAGTTTGTGTGTAAATCAGCAATAGCTCTGTATTAAAATGTGATTAAAGAACTTGTAATCAAGGTGCTAATAAATCCAATCATCTGAAATAGAACCCATCACTTTTGTTGCATGTACCACCCTACACATGACAATAGTAATGTGTTTCATGGAAAAAGGGCATAGTTATGAAAATATTTCCTTATTTCATCGCTGTAATTTCTGTGTATACATACGACCAGAATCCACTTTCACAGAAAGAAGATTAACATTACATGTGTTAACATAAACATTTCTGAGAAATAACTGCTGTAAATATTTATTTTACTTAGAACTTACAAATTGATACACCTCAAAACAGTTCTTTCGTAGTTTTCTTACTGCTAGTGGGGTGGGACTAAGTCCCTTGTACTACGGCCACTCCTGGCCTATTGTACCACTCTTTCGTTGTTGGCCTCATTTTCCATAAAACTCTTCAATAATATGTGGAACAACATTTATATTGTCAAATAAACAAAAGAAAATCATTCATATGAAAATCAAATAAAGTTTAAGTGTACCATTAAACGATGTTTCACTTACTGTGAATTTGAAACAAGGGCTGCAAAATACTTCAGAATTCAAGGAAATGTATGGTTCAATGTCATGGCTTGACTGCTTTGAGAAAATATAACGCAATGAATTACTGACATGCATTATGCTACATACGGACATTAACTCACGTCTATCATCTGAGTTGTACTGCACATCACATTCTCCAAGTGGTGTGCATTGTAGTAGTCAGTGTCATACCAATTAGGTGCCAGCCACTGAGGCAGAAACCACACATAGCCCTCTTGAGCTGTCATCTTCAAGTTGTATGCTTGGCACATGACGTCCCGCACCGCCACATCAAACATGTCCCCTATGATGATATGTACTTTTTTGTTCTTCAGCTCCTGCAGGTACTGCAAGCAGATGGGATGGAAATACACTGTTTATTTCATATTAATGTAACATGAGCAGCAACAGCAAAATTAGTAGAGGAGCAGGCTTATAGGTGGTGTGTTCAAAAAGTATCGAACCTTCTTCATTCCTGCGTAAACCAATGAAGCGTGGGAGGCTCCATTCAGTGGAGATGTGGGGGGGGGGACATTCATGTGCAGTCCTGAATTTTTTCCCGCCCACAGAAAGCGTCAGTCGCTGGCAGTCGGCCTATGAGTGAGGACGTGCAGTGAACGCTCGTTGGATTCCAGTAAGGTGTAAAATGACGGAACAACATGAGCAATGATATTGCCTCAAATTTTGCCAAAAGCTTGGCGATACCCAAGTGGAAACCATTCGCAAGATTCAACAGGCTTTTGGGGACGATGCCATGAGCAACTCACGGATAAAGGAGTGGTACAACCGCTTCAAAAATGGCCGCACATCAGTGGACAGCGAACCACATTCAAGCAGACCCTCAACAAGCCGAAATGAGAATGTCATTGAGCAAGTGTGGACTTTGGTCATGGAGGACTGTCGTATCACAGTCCGAGAACTTGTGAACGAGATAGGGGTAGGCATTGGATCGGTACATTCAATTTTGGCCGAGGATTTGGGCATGAGGAGAGTGTCCGCGAAATTTGTACTGAAACTGCTAACAATGGAGCAGAAGCAACGCCGTCTGGAAATCACACAGGACATGTTGGACAATGCAAACAGTAACCCCAACTTTCTGAACACTGTGATCACAGACGATGAGTCGTGGGTTTATGGGTACAACCCGGAAACCAAGATGCAGTCATCACAGTGGAAACATCCGACATCCCTGAGGCCAAAAAAAGTATGGCAGGTCTGCAGCAATGTCAAGGTCATTTTCGCTGTTTTCTTCGACTCCCGTGGGGTTGTGCATCATGAGTACGCTCCACAAGGCCAAACCACCACAAAGGAATACTACCAGGAGGTCCTTCGTCACCTTCGTGATGCTGTGTGGTGCAAACGACCAGATCTGTGGGCAGCAAAA